GAGATGGGAAAAACTTTACTCAATGTTTTTCAACCTTGGCAACTTTAAGACATCCTATCATGGGATCATACATGAAACTTCCTAATGTACTGAGCACTCATAAATAATAAATAACATAGAATATAATATTCCAAATGAATATTATTTATTTATGAATAAATAATATGGAAGTTATTGCAGGTATTCCTTGACTTACAACCATTTGTTTAGTGACTGTTTGAAGTTGCAACAGCACTGAAAAAGTGAGTTATGACCATTTTTCATATGACTGTTGCAGCATTCCTGTAGTCACGTGATTAAAACTTGGACACTTGGCAGCTGGCATGTATTTAGGACGGCTGCAGTGTTCTGGGGAACCGACAAGCAAAGTCAGTGGGGAAGCCAGAAGGAAAACAATGTCTAGGATGGACAAATCTGCTAGTTTGGGTTTTATTTGAAGCAAAAACGAATGTTTGCAAAATGTGCTATTTAGAAGCAGAAACGTTTTATAACATGTAGACAAATAAGTTACAAAAAAATGCCCTCTAAGCTCTTTTACTCTTCTTTTAAAGTATAAAGCTTTAGGGCTTTCAGCCAGACTATATATCTATTTCGTCTTCAACAATTATTCCACTTCGATGATTTCAGATATATATCTGCAAGCTGATATAAAATAATCTGCCTTACAATCACAGAAATATTGTGTACAGAATTTAATTGGTTAGCAATTTGCTAATCTACTTTTTGCCTTTAAATTTTGCTGAATTTGGAAAAATCAAAATAATTTGGAATGGCACCATCATGCAATGAAAATATGAAAATATCATGCCTCCTAAGGCTGAAAGGGCAGTTGTAATGTATGGAGTAACTATGATTTTCTAAATTTCATTTATGATTAAATGGTTTATGAAAGGTAGAATTTGAGTTTCTCTGCTAAAGGGTGCATGCATTTCAAAATTTGTTTGGCACATTAGAGAGCTCAGAATAAAATTAGTGTATTCCCTGGGTAAAAGGTTGTTCATAAACAGGAAGGATTAGAGCAGCCATATATTTTTATGTTAAGTAAACTAAAGAGCAAGGAGTCAACTGACAATATAATATAAACAATTCAAAAAGGCAAGGAAAGAGGAACCAAATATATGTGACGAAGTTCAGTGTGATTTCTGCGGAGATAACTGCCTGTCAGCAGAACTGTGAGAAGTGATTGATATTTCACTTATTTGCAGCATATATTCTGGTTTTTCTTCAGATCATATAAATCTTTCACCTTTCTTTCCTTAATGTGTTGAAAACTTCACATGATTATGTTCCAAGAGTGCTAATGACCAGATGACTGCGAGGAATATAAATCCTTCCATTCCCTGCCCCCTTTCAGTCAGAACTGCTTCTTGGATGAGAAGCGAAATGGTCTTCAAGGAAAAAAAACCAAGAAAATCCAGTTGCCTTTTGAAAAAGCACCTTTGTGACAACCATGGCCTGGATGACTGAGAATCTCCATAGACAGACCAGAAGGAAACAGTTCTGTCCTACTTAGTGCTTCATACATACACAATGCATTTGAAAGATTTCTGGCATAATTTCACAGGCTGTCAACTGCTGGAACATACCCAGGTGGTAGTAAACTACTCCATAGACCCAACCGATGAGAACCAGCTGCTATCATAAATATATGGATGGATGTATGACCATTCCTTCCAAAGAAATGGCTCCTGTAAATAGAGGCCTTTGTCTGAGTTTAAATTAAATGTAGATTTGGGCAGATAAATTACAGGTAGTCCTTGATTTACAACAGTTCGTTTAGTGACTGTTCAAAGTAATAGCAGCACTAAAAAGTGATTTATGACCATTTTTCACACTTATGACCACTGTAGCATCTCCATGGTCATGCCATGAAAATTCAAATACTTGGCAACTGACTCATACTTATGACATTTGCATATGTATACAATTATTCTCCTTTATTCCTTTATCCATATAACAGTGGTTCTCAACCTTTCTAATGCCGCAACCCCATAATACAGTTCCCCATGTTGTGGTGACCCCCAACCACTTATAAATCACCGGGTGCCAGGGGCATGGCCAAAGAAAAGGGGGGAAAAATGGCGGACAGCCTTGTTTGGCGACCCCCGTGAAATGGTCGTTCGACCCCAAATGGGGTCCCGACCCACAGGTTGAGAACCACTGCACTATAATGAAATCAGAACATGCACTTATCATTCTCTATGTACAAGATGGAAAGACCCTTTAAAGATCTGAATGAATTGAAAATTCAGTTCTATTCCCGTGAAACATAAAGCTAATATAATTTTTACTTTGAATATCTTCAAATGTACTATTAAAAATTTGAAATCTTGGCCTATCTGGAATTACTCTGTGTTACTTGTTGGCAGCTCTAACAAGTAAATACCTTCCCCTCTTTTACTATCCAAGATCTCCTTTAACTAGGAACTATCAGAGGTTAAGTCTGGAAACTTTTATATGGAAAGCAAGTGCTTTAACATTTTAGTTGAAAATTATATGAAAAATGCTACAGCTAGGTACTTTATACTTTCAGGATATATTTCACTTGAAATTCTGAATTTCCCCCCCCAAATATTAAACCTCTCTGATTCAGTGATTCTTCTTCAGTTTTGTTTCAACAATTTCATATAACATATAAACACAGTTAGCAAGGAGTAAACGCTTATTTTAATAATTACAATATGCTCTGCTAGAATATCATTGATTTTTTTTTCAAAAGGAAGCCATGTCAAAGTCTTCCAAGCCTTTTTATATTATACAATAATGGTTGGAAATAACTGGATTATTCACCTGTAGAACACTATATTATTTTCTATACATTAATAAAATATTAAAAAAAAAACAATGCCTGCAGATACTGCAGTCAGCAGAAGTACTAGTCTTTAATTTACAAGTATGGCACTGTTTTAATCTGTTTGGCTAGGTATCTAAGACAGGGACAACTGCTATAAACTGAACGTTTATTTTTCTAGTTTTAATTTTGTACGCCGCCCTGAGTCCTTTGGGATTGGGCGGCATATAAATAAATTAAATAAAATAAATAAATAAATAGTAAGAATCTGAAGTAGCCTTAAAGGGCTTCTTGAGTTATTTATGACGATCCCACATTTTTAGGATACGATTTGAAGGGGTAAGGAATTTAAAGAAAAAATATTATATGTGATTTTATTGCTACCATTCATGTTTTTATACAAACTAGATCAGATCTAGAAACAAGAAAGAAATGATTTACTACTGAAATTTCCATTCTGGTAACTGCCCAGAATAACAATAACACACTGTGAGAAGGATGAATATAGCCATTTTTAAGAAACTGTAATATTAAAATGAAAAGGGTAAAGTAAGTACTGTACGTTCTTACAATGGGTTTCCAAGATATTCAAATTAAAATACCTTAAAAAAAAGCATCCCTATGTGTAAAAAATGTACTACCTTACCTGAAATGGTAATGTAGCATTATTAACATTCCTTTAGGCTTCTGCTACTCTTACATAATTTATTTGTGCTAAAAGTAGACAATTGTATTTCTTTGTCTGTATTGCAAATCTAGTAATGAATTACTATCTCATGGATACCTATGTAAGACTGAACATAAATACAAGAAAATTGAAATGTATTATTATCTTTCTGACTGCCCAATGCCAGAAGCAAAAATTATTCAATAGTAATTATATGTATATAGTAGCCATGACCACTGCAATAAACTATTAAATCAAAAGGAGTTCTTTAGTTATGGATTGTTGCTTACAGCACAGGTGTAGATGTGGGTCTCACCCACTGCAGCTACAGAAATAAAAAAGAAGCTTGTCCCTTATTTATTTGTGTAGGCAACAGAACCAGAAAATGTCCTAAACCATTTTAAACGCTAATGTTTAGAATGATTTTTGTCTATTCTACAAGGCAGTTTTAATTCTGTGACCTCAGTCAATTTTATACCCGATGCACCATATTTACAGCAAGATAAAAGACAAGGAATTTTCACTGAGAACATTGGAAGATGAAACTATAAAAGAATTTCAAAGCAGAATAAGTATAACAAACTCTTTGCATAAGTACTTGAAAGTCCCTCTCAAAGAGATCAACAGAGCTTTTAAACATTTCCTAGGCAAGATTAATAATAATCCCAGCGGTTTTATGGAATTGTCATAAAATTCCCTCCCAATGTTTTTTTGTGCAATGACAAAGGAAATAATAATTAGCAATAAAACTGTCAGCCCAAAATAATATTGCAAGTAATTACTGTACATAATTACAACCTTCCATATTCTAATGCCTTCTAAAAATATTGGGATGACAATTCCCAGAATCCCTGCCAACTGGCTTTTGGCTAGGAATTCTGGGATTTCATGACCAACATATCTGAAGGGCATTAGATTGTAGAAACTCCAGCAAAGCTCAAGCAAAGTGTATAAATATAGCCAAAAGATGTAATGGAAGAAAATACAGCAGTCATTTTAGTTTTATTTAAGATGGGGGTGGGAAACTATGGCCCTTTTATGACTTCAAGTCCCAGAATTCCTAAGACAGCCATAAAGGGGCCATAGTTTCCCCATCTCGGGTACCTTTTTAACTTGAAAAGGTGAAATCTTATATAATCTATAGAAAATCTATGTAGCTCCGGATTGAATTGTGAAGTCCTTGGTTCTGTCTAGGCTTGTAGACAATTCATTACTCAACTAGATGACATCAGTGCGAGTGAGTGGGGGGGGGGGTTTGCTCTTCAGTTATTACCTAGTTGTTACCTTGTTCGGTAATGTAAGGTCTGCAAGCAAAAACCGGAGCTCAGAGATAACCAAAATTTCCTCATATATAACCCCCTCCCCCCACCATCAATAGTAATAAGACCCCCCCCAAAAAAGAGCTAGATCAACACAGGATATGGAGAGTGCAATTCGACACGAGTCTACTCATGAGTAGTCCCCCTGAATTCAGGGGGCTTGTCTTCCTGATAAAGAAAGGCTGAGTGCCTCTTTTCCCTGAGGGGAGCCCGCTGCTCTTACCAGTGATCCCTCCGCTGCCTCCATCGCCTCCGTGCCCCTTCCTCTTCTGCAAGATGAAGTAAGGGTTGGCCCGCTCCGTGATCCACAAGGCATTGGCCAGCAGCACCTCCTCCGGGTTCACCCACATTCTCACGGCCAAGACAAAGGCAGCCCGGGGAGCTTCTTTTCGGCGGACGCTCTTCAAGAACGCAGCCTCCGTTCGTCCTCAGCGCCCTGCCCAGTCCGGAGGGGCGCCGACAGCAGCAATACGGGACCACGGATCGTGGGTCAGGAGGAAGGCAAGAAAGAGCCGCGGCATGCCCGCTGAGCCTCCCGCGTCCTCGGCCAGAGGTAGGAGCGGTTATCAGGCTCGGGAGTCACGTCGGTGTGGACGCGGGAACGAGCCGAGCGGTGACCTCAGAGCGAACGACGCGGCGGCTGAGCCCTCCCAGCCTCACTCCTGCCGGGCGGTAACGCCATCTCCCATCCAGCCCATTGCATTAGAGCCCCGGGAAGGATGCGATTGCAGAACGAGGACCGCATCCGACCAAAACCCAGAAGAGGGAAGCGGGTGACGGCACGGAATTGCCTTCTGCGCAAAGAAAACTCGGAAAAACCGCCTTCCTTGTATAGGCCTTTTAGTCCCGGCCGTTTATGCGGAGGAGGCCAGGTCAGGTAGACCAACGGAGGCTAGAGAGCTGCCTGGGTCAGGTCGGCCGTCCTTCCTCCATCTCTCAGTGCGCCAGCGCCTTTCGGAGCTCACAGCTGGCAAACCCCGCAGTGTCTCCGCACGGGTTACACCCCGGATTTCGAATTATCACACCCTATCGCCCCTACATCTACTGGGCTAAAAACTCGCACGACAAACCTATCCGGGCCGGCTACGAAATGCTCGCTCCCCGAAATGGGACGCTGTCACTGTCCGACAAAGGACGTCGTAAAGGCGGCTGAGGAGACGACCGGCTACCCTCGTTTAAGCGCACTCAAAGCCAAAAGAGGTTAAGCCTCCTCCGCTGGGTTGCTAACGTCGCGATCGCTTAGATCGCCCAGCCCTGCCCAGTCAGGATGGCACCGACGGGAAACACCCTGGAACGCTCCGCTCGGCCGCGATCTCCATCGCCCGGCCGAGCCTAGCGCCTCCGGAGGGCTGACGCGCCAGGTTCCAAAGAGGCGTGGCCTCCGCTGGAACAACCTGCGCAGCGCGCGGTGGTTGGCTTGGCGCTTCCTGCAATCCCAAGAGCTGGTCACGCGGTCTCTGCATCCCTTGCTTGGCTTCGAAGCCCGCAAGCTCCACCCAAGCGGCTGGAGCCGGGTTAAGGGCCCCGGCTGGAGCTTGTCGTTTCGTGAGCGGTAATGCGGAAGAAGAGACACGTTTTCTCTCTTCTGCCCACAGAAGGTGCTGGCGAGACAGAAGGAATGGCCAGTTTCTGTTTCTAAGCGGACTGCGTTGCCAGTCAATAGTTCTATCCGCCCGGTTAATTTATTGAAGACATTTCTGTCCCTCAAAGCAGGTGTTTGGCAAGGGATAAAACTATAAGCACACAAAACCTTCGTTATCAATAAATACAGTTAATCAGCATTATTAGATTGCACGAGAAAAATTAGACTACCCACTAGTCTAGAGTCTAGGTAGAAGCAGAGGTATGAAACCCAAGGACTTTACTGCCATCTGGTGGAGGTCTGAATCATTGCCGTTCAGGTCTTGTAACCCAAGATAACAGTACAGTAGTTTTTACTCTGCATGGAAATAGTAATTTGTGGTCCTGTGCCTTATAGTTTGTTAATATTCCTGCATAATAGTTCCTATGTTTGAGAAGATGATTTTTCACTCTTGTAGTGTTTTGTGCAATAATACTATTTTTTAAGATAGGGAGCTGCCATTATAGCAATCCTGGAAGATGTTTATTTGGCTACTTTTTTGTTATGGGAAGCTATATATATATATCATTCTAAAAGAGATACCCTTGAGGTTAAGGCTCCAGCTTTATGGTTCTTTTGTGAGTGTTTTCAGGTTGACTGACTTATCATATTGGGTGACAGGTTAGCCTTCCCTCAAATACATTAGGTAAATGTCCATAGTTTGTTTTGCAGGCTGTGAATGAGTTAGTACAAAGGTGGTTCTTTATATATCTGTGAAATATATTTACATTAAATTTATGGCCATGCAAAATTTTTCTCAGAACTATTATTTCAAGCCAAAGGAGTTCATTGCAGATTTATGAGAATTCATAGATCTGTGAGGATTATATTATTGCTAAATAAAAATATTGTGAGAGATTAAATTATACAGTAAATTCCTTTGTTTATAGTTTCCTGTAGAAAGTAAACATTGCTTCATTATACTACTAAGATAGTTGTAGCAAGAATTTTTGAATATAGATCAAATAAAATTATGTGCTCTTGCTGCTCAAAGTAGTCCAGTAAGCCTGATTGCCTTATGTGGCACCTTGGCGATCACTGGCACACCCTCTTGCCTTCAGCAGCATCCACACCCGGTTGTGTTCACATTGATTGCAACAATTACTTGCATAGCCTATGCTCAGCCATGCTTGTGCTGTACATACCACTTACCCATTCTCTGGCCTGGTTATAAGATTCCCAGGATTCGCAAGTTCCTGTCAGCTTCCCTATTGACTTTGCTTGTGGCAAGAAGTCACAAAGAGGTCCTTGCTTAATGACTCACATCCTCACTTAACAACAGCAACTAGGAAATGCCGGGATTGCCATTATTAAGTGAAACAGTTGTGATGTTGCTGTTATCACTGCATTGCTTAGTGATGGAAATTCCAGTTCAAATTATTATAGCTAACCGAAGACTACCTGTAATAGTAAGTGGGTAGTCTGCACAGGGTTTGCAACCCCAATGATTTTGATATAGCTGATGAGGTACTCGCCTTCTTCTGCATACACAACTAGCCTAGTAATGAATAGATCGTGATCTTTTGCTGCTAGTATGAACAGAAGAATAGTAAACTTGAATGACTTAAATGGAATTGTAAAAATTATAGGACATGATGGACTGGCTGCTTTGCTTCTAACATTAGCCATAGGAAGAAAGTCATCATAAGCATGAATGAAGCTTTGTTATATCCCTTTCCCTTCCAGTATTCTACTGAATACTGTGCGGCGATGATGTTCCACAGGGAGAGTTGCTATGGAGAAGGCCTTTTTTGGTCCCACTAGATCACAGGTCGGCAACCTGCGGCTCTGAAGCCACATGTGGCTCTTCAAGCCTTCCCCTGTGGCTCCCAGCTTCTCTGCCATTTGCAGGGAGAGACAGAGACAGAGAGAGGCACTTGCGCTTCCCTGCTCTTCTCTCTCTCTCTCTCTCTCTCTCTCTCTCTCTGTGTGTTTGTGTTTGTGTTTGTGTTTGTTTGTGTGTGTGTGTGTGTAAAAGAGAGTGGACTCACGGTGTTCTCCGACAATCTGAAAAGCTTTTTGGGCAGGGCTCCTCCCTTTGCTGCATCTCTGCAGGAAGCAGGAAGGACAGGAGAGAGCTAGCTAGCCCAGCTATGCTGACTCAGGGATTCTGGGAGTTGAAGTCCATGAATCATAAAAGAGCCAAGGTTGCCTACCCCTGAGCTTGTTGGAGAACAGCTTGAAGCCAGCTTGCCAGGTGAGCAGAAGATCAGAGAGAGGGAGAGGGGGGAGAGAGAGAGGGGTGGAGAGAAAGAGAGAGAGGGGGAGAGGAGAGAGAAAGACAGACAGACAGAAAGACCCTTTTGACATCTAAAATGAAGATAACACTGCATATATCCTTTTTTATCTTGATGATATTATATATATATATATATATATATATATATATATATATATATATATATATATATATATAAAATGCTGTATGTTACACCCTGTTGCCCAAATATGGGAGAGAGAAATCTTTTGCCTTGTATCAGCTCAAACTAGAGCCATCCACAGGCAGCAGTCACAACTGTGACATCATATACATTTCAATCCAAATTTTAGAAATATATATATATATATATTGTTCGGGTTTTCTCCCGCGTAAAATTGGAAGTGTCTTGGCGACGTTTCGATGAAGTCCCATTCGTCATCTTCAGGCTGGTGTTTTCAGCTTCGTGCTTCGAGGAGCACGAAGCTGAAAACACCAGCCTGAAGCACGAAGCTTCGAAGCACGAAGCACGAAGCTGAAAACACCAGCCTGAAGATGATGAATGGGACTTCGTCGAAACATCGCCAAGACACTTCCAATTTTACGCAGGAGAAAACCCGAACAACCAAAGACCTACATACAAACACCCGCGAACAAAGAATAAAGAGAGAACTGGGATAGCTATTTCGAGTTTCTTAACTCTCTTCGGCCAGACTTACTCTTCTGAGATTCAAACCTGGGCTACATGCATGTTAGGCAGTTGTATTAACCTCTAGGCCACAGGCTCTTTCTCACTTTGTCAGCTGTATCAGGAGAGAGATATATAAGGATATATGCAGTGTTAGCTTCATTTTACATGTCAAAAGGGTTTTGCAGCTCCCAGTGTTTTGTTTTTGGTGGGAAATGGGTCCAAGTGGCTCTTTGAGTGTTTTGAGTTGCCTACCCCTGTACTAGATGGACCTCCTTAAGAGAGGGGACCCATAACATACCTTGCCTCCCTTCTTTAGTGAGTCAGGAAAATGTAACAGAGAAAAGACAGTCCTTCAAATAAAAGTAAATCAGCAAGCAGTGCAACTCTCACAAGAGAGGTGAAACATGTGCAAATCCAGATTTGCACAAAACTATGCAGGCCATCACATTTTGAACCAACTGATGCTTCTGATACTTTTCAAGGGCAGTTCCATGTAGAGCACATTGCAATAGTCAAGACAGGAAGTGATTAGGGCATGGATCACTGCGAGCAGAGTTAGTTGATCCGGGAAAGAGTGTAACTGTTACACAACCCACAATTTCTCAAAGATCCTGGCCACAACTGCCATCTGTTCCTTAATATTTATCAACAAATACCTATGAAACAAATTCCTTATTCTGACAAAATAATATTGAATTGTTATGTACTTTTTAAAAATCAACTAAAATATTTAGTATTCAGCTTAGCATTAAACTCCAGTAGCTTACATATAGACACACTATGTTACAATATAAACTTCAGAATTAAAAACAATCATTGATGTCAAAAAGATGACATTAAAGCTTTTAAAATTCTAACTGTGCTTAGATCTGATTCCTTAAGGAGACTTTTAGATGTTGTAGCACTGTGTTATCATTATTTAAATAAATATATAATTAAATAATATTAAAAGATTTAATTATAAAGTCATCATAGCACAAATGAATAACAATGACCTTTTGTGTTTGTTTTATAAAATATTACATCTTTTTTAATACATACGTTTACATTATGTACTTTTGCCTTTGGCACGTAATGGAAAGACAGCCAGTAAAGTTCTTTACGTAAACAGAATCATTCCTGCATATCTTAAGTTTTATGAATATAAAATGCAAATTGTATGTAATACATTTATAAAAGAAACTGGAAAATAAATAGATTCATTTTATAATAATTTTTAAAAGGTATATTTTCATACATTTCAGCAAATATGGATGCTGCATTTAAATGTGATCAACACCAATTTTCCCAATTTTTTCCCCATCATGTTGTGTTCTTCCTAAAGCATATGGAATTGTTTGCATTTGCTTATGCCCAGAATTTTGTTAATTCATGATATGAATCTTTATAAGATAGATTAGCTTGAGCTAAATTTTTGTTATTCTGTCATGGTTCTGGAATGGTTAAGTCCTCTAATAATTCTGAGTATTAGGATGTTCTACATACATGAAAGGAAGTTAATCTGCTACAAAGTGCATGAAGACCCCCGCAACTCAAAAGAGGAATATATACATTTAAGGCTGCTAGTGGCTACTGGCTATGATTGCTATATTTATCTATAGCAGGGGTGTCAAACTGCTGAACGCGGGCTGAACGTATCACGAGGAAACCACGCCCACTCCATTGCCGGCAATGGGGAAAAAACTTCCGATACATCGTACGATGTCATGTGACATTGCGAGTTTGACATGTCTGATCTATAGGAAAATAACACCTTTTATGGAATACTGGTTGCCAAAAGCTGGCTTCTGCTAGAGTTCATCTGTAAGTAAACACTCAGAGCAAATTCTAGAAGAGAGATTTCAACTGGGAAGA